CACACACACACACACACACACTCATACGTGCACACAAGCATTCTTTCTTTAAGTGAATGAAGTTTCCATGAGTGCATATTAATGAGATTTGGAGTTCGTTGGCAGCTTTGCTGATTAGATTGTCTTACGGCTAAAAACATTCTCACGCATAAATATATATATATATATATATATACACGCACACACACATGCTGACTCACACGCACGCTTCAAGTCCCTGTGCTGATACAGCCCTCTTTCATCCTAATCACTGATAAATAAACAAATCCAGTCCTTTATCTCTGCTGGAAACGGCACATATTTGGTGTTTAAGTATTGTGTTTGCACGCGCTTTCCTATTTGCAGGCATACGAATGTGTGTATATGTCTGTGTTCATGTCTGTGTGGTTGCCTGTTTCCATGTTTGTGTGCGTGCATGCATGTTTAAGCACAATTTGTGTCTGTGTGTGTGTGTGTGTGTGTGTGTGTGTGTGTGTGTGTGTGTGTGTGTGTGTATCGCATTGGTATGGTGTTGCTCACATGAATGCAAAATCGAAAGTTTTATGTGTGTGTGTGTGTGTGAGAGAGAGAGGACAGAGGGTTACCTCTAGCTTATCCATCATCACTGGTTGTTGGGCGCATAAATCTATTTTTACTAACTATGCTGGCAGGGAGGGCGCGTGTGTGTGTGTAGGTGTGTGTGTGTGTGTGTGTGGAGAAAGGTTAAGCGAGGTTAAAAACACCATCAACTCAACTTGGCCCTGACTAATGGATGTTTTAGAGAGGGACAGAGAAACAGCGGAGAGAGAGAGAAGGGGACAGGAGACAAAGGATGGAGGGATAGTGGAGGGAGATTTAGAGGTGAACGGAAGGAGAGAGGGGAAAGAGCAGAACCGGAAAGAAGAGAAATAATACGAAGGGGGAGGAAAGCGGAGGAGAGGAGAAATGATGGGGAGAGTTGAATGTAGACAGAGAGAATGGTCACAGAGATGAAGAAGCTTGGAGCAGAATAAGGGGAGATAAAGAGAGTGTAATAAGACAGAGGGAGTGAGAAAGATGAAGCCAAAAGGAAAGAGAGAGGACAGATGATAAAAAAAAAAAAAAACATATCCAGCTTGACCTGTCACAATATATCTGGGGCATTTTTGATTAAATATACAAGTTATGCTGACAATAAAGACATTAGATTGGCTCATACATACTAAACAAACACGAAACACCCTGCATCACCCTGTCTGTATTCTGTGCACAGTCTCGGTCCGCTTTACTTATACAACCTTGCACCAGAATTGGCTCACACATGAAACCCCAAATATGATCATACATGTATGAACTTCAAAAGCTGAGAGATTGAAAATACTGAAAGTGGAAGAGATGTGTGTGTCTGTGTATGTTTTATGTGTGAATGTTTTACATATGATTTTCTTATGAGCGTCTTTCCATGCACGTTAGCTACACAGTATTTTGCGTATTATTTCATGGTTGTATGTCTACGTGTGTGTGTGTGTGTGTGTGTCTGTCCTCTGTGTGAGTTCATCTGTGATAGTCTGCCTTTGTCTGTACGTGTGACATGTGTCTGCGTCTGTGCACCTGCATGCGTGTGCGCGCATGCCTTTGTATCTGTGCAAGTGTGTCTCTGCGAGGCAGCGCGGCGAGAGGCATGTTGTAGCTACATCTCAGTTCAATTTGTACCCGACCTCAAATTGAAATTCCATTTTCAGGTGGTAAATTGTCTCCCACTTCGCCCTCTGGCACACAGTGAATTAAAATTCAAATTAGCCTGACCCTGCACCACTGCTCTCTAGCACCTCTCTGTCTGTCTCTCTCTTTCTCTCTCTACCCATCTCTATCTCGCTCGCTGTTTTGCTCTCTGCCCTCTCATCTCTTCCCCCTATTATCCTCTCCTTTCTGTTCCTCTCATCTCTTGTTATCCTTTCCTCTCCTCTCCACTCCTGTCCTACCTCTCTTATTCCCCCCAATTTCTCTCTATAAACCCTCTCACCTCTCCCTACTCATCTCCCCTTTCGCCTTTTGACTTATCTTTAATCCCCAGTCTCTCCTCCCTCCTGTTTGTCATTTCTCCTCCCTTCAATCTGTTTTTTTTTCTGCCTTGTCCTTCCTTTCTCCTCCTCTCCTCTTCTCTTCTCGACAAGCATTTAAAGAATTACAACATGCATGAGGTGTTCAAATGTAATGCAAGTTGGCGACGTAATATTCATTGTGAGGTCATATAGGAAAAATTCTTAATGGAACTGTTTCGAGCAGATGAACTTTTATTGTTTAGATCCTTATTTCATGAGGTAACAACTACTGCTGAGAACTGTTTTCCAGATATATTGTTTTTGTTTGGTAGTATTAAACAGGTCTAATTTATTTATTTAATTCTTACAAGCTTTTTTCAGACATTCATTCCACTTTAAAGACAGCTGAAAGCGCTTCAAAAAATATATTTATGGTATATATTTTAATAATATTTGATGCATTTCTTTAGTTTGGTAAAACTACTATAGTCAGAAATCATCATTCACGCTCAGTTTATTCAGCTTATTTCTAGGAAGCGATCTTTAATCTGATTCTTGTTTGCAATTTTATTCATGATTTTGTAATTGCATTTTTGTTTACTTCTGACCTTGTGAGACTTTTTTATTATCAGTTTGATGTTTTTATTAAGTAACGCAGTCATTGTATCACTGCTTACCCCAGCCAGGAGAGTCTTGAAAAGAGCTTTCTTATCTAAAGGTTTGGTCTTAGTTAAATAAAGAATATAGTTTAAAAAAAGAAGACACCCACACTTCTAAAGGCTTTAACATTAATGCGAATGGTAATATTAGATTTAGGCTCAACATCAAAATGTTTGCTGGTTTCCCTTCATTCATTCCTATTTCCAGTTGCCCATGTTGAGTTCGTAATGTGTGGAGTCTCATATCTCCTCTACTCTAGCCTTTTCAAGGAGTAATGTTGGATTAATTGGCTTTTTAGGTGGTATGTACTGTGAATCTAAAGTGGTTGGTATATAGTCAAATTCAAAGCCCTTTTCTCATACATCAACCTTAAATTTACCTTCTACATCTTATCTCCAGCTCTGGGTCATGAGAGTAGTATGGATTTACAGATTTCCACAGATAATGAAGTTTTTCTCCATCTCCTGCAGCCCTACCTCTCAGTCCTGCTGAACAAAGGCTCTCTCGAGGTCTTGTTGTTTACCGGCAGCAACAGTCCGCGTCGTGTCATCAGACGACCTGAGCAAGGCATACTGAATGATGGGAGGGAGCACTCGCTGCGCATAGAGAGGCTAGCTGGCAGGTTGGTGTTTGTGTGTCTGTTCAGGCTGTGTTGATGGTCCTACCTGTGCAACATCATTTTATGTCGCTCTTGAAGGCTGACTTTTACTCTGCATAATCAATTTGATATTTGTTGTGTGTTTGTCTGTGGGTGTTTTCCTCCAGATCTTTTGTAGTTCAGGTGGACGAGGAGGCCAAGAGGGAGGCAGCGCTTCCCAACGACCAGCCAGTGAGCTTGCAGCGCATCTTCCTCGGTGGTATTCCTGCAGAAGTAGAGCAGACCTCCAACAGAGTCAACGTCCCATTCCAGGGATGTATATGGAACCTCATGGTCAACGCTGTGTACGTAACATCTCATCTATATATGCACCCAGATTTATTGAAACAGGCGTTTTCTTCAACCTAGAATACACTCATAATATAACATAAAATGCTGTTCTTCTCATTAAATTAAAATGCACAGTGTGTTCTGGGGGCGTGCTTTCATCTTTTTCTTTTTTGAATTACTGGAACCGAGTAGAGAAGTTCAAGTTCTTTATTTATCCAATGCACTGCATTGATACTTGTGCTTCAAACAGTGCAGCGTTCCTCATTGCCCAAATGTTTCCCCAATAATGTTTCCTGGCAGTGGAAGACGGAGCTAATTTTGACCTCATACACTGCTGGGTTAAAGTGTTGTTAATATGATTTCAGTGGGTCATGATGATGCTGTTGAGGATTATGATGATGAAGTCAGCGTCTCTTTCTGCCTGAACAGCAGTAATAGAGCTGTCCAGCATCATAAAAATACTCGTAAATCAAATTACACCCCTCTCTCATCTTTGTGTGTTCATGATTTTGTCTGTTTGTCTATCGCTCACCCCATTTCACCCCGACGCTGTAACTTCTACCTAATATACATCTGACTCTCTGTCAGTGAGTCTTCATCATCCTTTTGTACATTTTCTTGGAACCTACAGTAATTTGTATTGAATATATAATACTGTTTAGTTCATTTATCTTGAATAACTCTTACTATACTTCCTTTTTCTAGCGCCTGTACATGATCATAGAGTGGTAACAGGAACCTTGTCAGTGAGTGTGCTGTGCTCCTGACCCTTGATCTTGTTCAGACTACACACAAAAAAACAATTTTGGATGCACTGTGTTTAAGTACAAAGTTTATGGAAACAGATGCAAAACTTGCTCTAGATTGCATAAACTTTCACCGTCAAATTCTGATAACTCTGTTAGTGGCCATTGTGATAGTAAGTCTGCATTGAAGGTTCAATGTTACAGATTCATTTGTACATGTAGTATTTCCCTTAGCGTAACTGCTTTGGCCCAGTGGGTCGGCCGGGTTCTAAAATGTATCACTTTAAAGGTTCTTTAAATATTTATCAGTCACTTTTCGAAATCCACATGAACCTTTGTTTTCTTTAGAACAAATTTATGGCTGGTGGGTTGTAAACAGCATGCCAAATTAGTCAGAGCACTCAAGGCCAAATTGCCTCTTAATTAAGTTACCATATGACCAGTTTCTGATAAGCAATGTAGCATTCAAAAGGCTATTTTTCAAATGGAGTCCGGGGGCAGTGCTCACTCTACTTGGAAAGCACCGGGGCTACATTACATCACTTCACGAAGAACAATGGGGGCAAAACGACATCAGCGATCTGTTTGAGGCAAATATCCTCTGGTCTAGCTCAACTAAAAACAAACTTGTTCCACTGTCTTTAGCAGTTTAGATAACAGACACTTGACTGTCCTGCTGTTATTACAGAGATGTGTACTAACCACAGACACTTGCATCGTTAATGGACTCACAGCGATACCCCGCGGCAGTTCAAGGCAAGTGTGCCGCTGCAGAATGAATACAGAGGAAATTTGGCATTATTTTTGGCATTCAAAAAAGGCCTGGCAGGGGTTCCCCTACAGTTATAGCGGAAACACTGAAGTGTATTGAACACCTGTGCTGTATGCAAATTCAAACAGACTGCACACACACACCAGTCAAATTCATCCTCATCAAGGAAGGCGAAGATGTACTTACTGTAGCAGTCAGTCTGAACACACTTCAACAGGTCCCTGCACTGTTAACTCACTGTGATGTTTCTGTTGGTGTCGGCTAAACATTGTGTAAGTTGAAATCTAATCGCTCGTCCATCTCTCAGTCTCTCAGATTTCTCCCTGCCTGTGTCTTTTGAGAATGCCGAAATCGGCCAGTGCCCCAACCTCGCCCCTCCACCACCACTCCTGCCAGAAGAGGAGGAGCCAGAGAAGGAAAAGGAAGCGTCGAAGCCATTCAGTCCTCCACTGATCGCAACCACAGTTGCTCCAGGTCCTCCTGCTGTAAGTGGGTCAAAATAAAATGGGAACACACACGCACTTTCACTACTTAACTTAACTTAGCAGAAGGTGTTATGGTATTAAAAATCTATAAAAAAATGTTAGAAAGTAAGATATATTCACATTACACCACAGGGTTTTTTTTTTTATCTACATTACTATAATAGTGAATACTTTCGTTTAGCCAGCCTATTTTAAACTGTTGGCAGGTGTACATACACATGTACACAGAGACATGCACATACGACACATATATAGAGATACGGTTTAGTAAAAAGTAGCACATACACCAATATGCACACACATTTACAGAAGAGCACACGTGTCCTACTCCGCTATATATATTTTTTCTGACTTACTCACACACACAAACACAGCGATTTCTCTCTGATGAAATGCAGCCATGGCCTCGCCCTGTTAGCTTAGCGCTTCATCACATTGCAGTTGTACAGCCCATTAACTCTTCTTTATGGTCCCTTTAGCCTTGAGCCACAAACTCCACCTCTGGCAGCCTGTCATAGCCTGTCGGAGCCATGGCGCTACGCTACGCTAACTGTGCATGCCATTTATGCTTTATGAGCCCACAGGAGCCAAAACACTCAGCTAACATTTAGCTACTATGCTAAGAGGCTGGTAGGCAGTCATGTACATCATAACCTTAGCGTTGGGACAGAGAAATTCATATATGTAATATATTATAAGCCTTACAGGGGTGATAGTTTATCAGTTACCCAGTTACCTGCTAAACTACACCACTAAAAGGGCATTGATCATGAAGCACAGAGCCAAAGAGCTCTGCCAGCTTTGCTATAACTCTAAGGTTTGTTGCTTTATGGGCTGTAAGATCATCTGCTTTATGATATACAGTAGACTAAAGCCTGTCCAAAAGCCATCGCTCTACATTTTAACAGAGGTGGTTCACCAAATTTCAGTGAGCAATTATCGTTGTGGTTCATGTTTTGTTTGTTGGGTGTTTTGTTGATGTTGTTGACTCTTGGAACATCTTTTCATTACAACCACAACAAATTACAATATATAAATGTCTCACCAGACTTCAGAGGACGTGACATTTACTTCAACAACATCACTGTATGGTGTAGAGAACCAACATCTCTTGTCATTTAGAGTTTTTTAAGTGTTGGGCACAATCTTACACAATTAGTACATTTGTATTTATATTTTGAAATGGTTGTGCTGCAGCACCATGTACAAGCACAGCGCTCTGCTCACAAGTTGCTACATGCATTTTTCATCAACAGCAAAAGGGTATTGTCTGACTGAAGCAGTAATCACAGCTGACAGTAAACAACAGTCTCAGCATGTGCTTGAATAAAGAGGCTTCTATATCATCCACTTTTCTGTCACAACATTTTCTGTATTTGTGATTCTTGAGATATTGGTGAGCACACATTTAGAGGATGAAGAGGCTCTAGAACAGGCACCTTACACACTTCAGTGAACCTCCGAACAATAAGATTACATTTTGTCTTTTTCTTTTTAACTTGCTGTTCTGCTCTAACTGCCTCTGATTAGCCTTCAGAATCACAGCTCTTAAATGTCCTTTGCTTAGTCATCAAAATCTAAGATGGTCAGATGGTAATTATGCTTCAATTCAAGGTAAAAAAAAAAAAAAAAGAGGTGTTGGAGTCAAAAGGTTTCTCCATTGCTTCATTAACTCCTTTGACCTTTAATGTTTATGACATCATTGTTGCCTGTTGCCTGATTAGCGGACTGTGTGCTCGTCATAAACATCGCCATTCTGGCTCTGTGGCTGCAACTAATCCCCCTTCCTTTCCACTCCCTCACTGCTGACCCTGCAGGAGGCCACGCCCCCTGCCGCACCTGCTGCCACACCCACTGCTGCTGCAGCCCCGCCCACTGCTAAACAGGAGCCCAGCGCCGACGTGGTATACATACACTCACTTGCCCACACCTGACAGTTTTTGGTCTTCTTGCAAGAAAAATATAGAATATCATAAGACTTATCCTTTAACACACACACTTGAGTATGAACCGTCCATCACTGTAACCTCAGAGCTTTCTGACTTGCTCTTATTTAGCTTCATGTCTTTTCGCTATCAATCTAGAATATAAAAATGTAAGGACATTCAAGTCTGATGATGGCAAATCGGATTACAGCAACTTTTCATTTGTATCATTTTAAATTAGATATCCCAGTTATGGGAGATATGTTATTCCTTTCATCCATTTTAAGTGTATTTCTCACCTAGTTATTTTCTATTTCAACATATTTTCCCCCGAAAGATTTTATCTACCTCCACCTTTGTATGGAGCTGCTTTGTTGACCGCAGTCTTCTTCTGATGGCCCCTGACCAGCTTGGCTTGAGCAGCTGGGGGGTTAAGTGCTTTGCCCAAGAGCCCTTGACATTAGTTATTGACAGAAGGGAGAGCCTTCCTGGTTTGATACACTTATCAAAGGATAGGTGTTGTAACAGGCCACCCAATTGCTTTCTCTCATTTCAGCAATTGCATTTATTTTCAGGGGATTTGTTTACATAGTGATATACTGTGTCCTTTATCTGAGTTTGGGTAAACGTGTGCCTCTTTAGGATCTCGGTGCAATTGTAAAGCATTAATAGCCCCAAGCTTTTCTAGTTTCAATGTAAGACCTATGTTTGAAACACTAGCAATATAGTGACTAGTGACGTGTGCTTAACACTGTACCGTCTTGAAATTGGTCGTGAGTTAAGCAGTGAAAAATGTGTAGCTAAAGATAATTACTACCAGAATCCTAACGAGTAGCTTCTCTAAAAACTACAATAAGCAGAGCAAGGACTTTTGATCTCTCAAGAGTGAGGGCAACGACACACACACACTTATACAAAATCCAGACTAATGACTTCTCTTGCTGTGACCTCCAACCAAAGACTAGCCTCTCTGAATGGAAGACAGTCTTCCTATTGTTAGCTTAATGGAACGATGCAGAGGGGATGAGGGAGGGAGGAAGAGGAGGATAGAAGACGGAGAGGAGAGAAAAGGTGCGGCCATGGAGGAAGTAGAGGAAATGGAGAGAGGGAAAGAGAGAGAGGGAGAGAGAGAGAGTCTTTCTGAACAGAGCGGCCGCCGCCTTTTGTTGGCTTAATGGAAAGACGGAAGAGAGGAAGCCAGAGAAGAATGAAAGGAGAGGCAAGAAACGAGCTTCTGAGGAAGTGACATCTCCCTTTTGTTAGATAGGGAGAAAAGTGAAAGAGGGGAAAAAAAGAGGGAGGTTGAAGAGGAGGGGCGGATATGAGGACAGAGCGTGATAAGAGGTGAGTGTCAGCTGTAACAAAGCAAGGTCACCGTGTGGGGAATGTCTTCACTTGAAAGAGAACAAGAGTGGAGAGGAGTTAAGACACACACACACACAGAGACACTTGTGTGTGTGTGTGTGTGTGTGTCTGGGATGCTCTCCCTCTCTCTAACTTTGTCTAACACTGACACTGGAGGTATGGCAAAGCCTCTTTGTTAATTAATAGGAGATGTATCCAAGAGACGAAAGGAGAAAGCTCAGAAAAGAGGAAGAATTGGAGGAAAGGAGGGGAGGAAAGAGCAAGTGAGGAAAGTTGAGAAAATGGAGGATAGGTGAACATAAAAAGGTGAAGGTCTGGGAATGCCTTCCATTGGAGGCAGGAGTGGGTGATAGAGGAAGAAATAGAAAGGTGAAGAAAGATGCAAAGGTAGGAGATAGTACAGTAAGATATGAAAAGAGAGAGCAAAACGGATAAGAGGAGGTGGTAGGGCAGGAAATGAAGAGGAAAGATGATAAAAAAAAGAGCAAAAGGGTGAAGGGGTTGATGAGATGGGAGGAGATGAGATTTGGCAAGGTGAAAAAAGTCAGAAGAGAAGAGGAAGGTAGGAAGATAATTAAGTACACGCTGTAAAGAGGTGAGAAGAGGGTGAAGAGGACTCAAGGTGTCTACAAGATCAGGAGAGGAGGAGGAGGATACAGCAGGAGAAAAAAGACAGGAAAGGTAAAAGAAACGGGAAGTAGGAGGATATAAAAGTAGAGGGAGGCAGCAGGAGAAGAGTGAAGAATGGGAAGGTGGGAAAGATGGGAGGTGGAAGGAGCGAGAACACTATAGAGGAGATAAAGGTAGCTAGAGGAAGAGGACTTGTTGGGAGGATAAAGCAGATAGTAGTTCATAATGGAGGGGTGAGATGGACAGGGAAGCAAAGACTAGAAGAGAGAAACGTGATAAAGTGACATGAAAGGGGATTGGAGAAGTAAAAGTGTGTAGAAGAAGAGAAAATAGTCGCAGATGGAAGGAAAGGGAGTCTCCTCCGACAAGGAGAGTAGTAGTAGTAGAGTAGTAAGAAATGACGAAGCCTTCACTTGTACTATTACACTGACATCTTCTGGTCACTGACTGAACTGCGTGCGTCCTGTAAAATGACAAGGGGAGCAGTAACACTCATCTAATACTTTGTTTACCCCGCTGCCAACGTGAAGCACAAATCAAATGGAAATCAGACTATAGTGTGTATGATGTCTGGTTCAGATGATAATGAAATATGTGCAGGATGTATGATAAACAAGCTGTGGGAGGGTCTATTGATTTAAAGACGGAATCAGCCAAATCCACCTTGGCAGCAACTGATTTGAAGCGATGAAGATAAAAAGAAACAGTAATGAGAGATTATTGCAATCAAACCGATTTGAATAGGTTGTATGCTGCAACTTGCTGAGACCATCTTAAATATTCCGTATCGTATTTGCACAATAAAAAAGATATACAATATTTTTATTGCACATTCAAGGCCTAACTTTTTTATTTTTTTTTATTTCTTGTTATGTATAAAGAACTGTTTTTGATGCTCCATTGTGACCAATCAGCCCTTCAGGTCCCTGCAGATCAGACGTAGAAACCCTATTAGTGTGATTGACTTACAGGTGCTCAGGTGTTAAGGTTCCTATTGACAAGAGGCAACATAGGAGCAGCTTGGTGTAACCCTGTCAGTGTAACTGACATGTTATGTCCAATCTCCAGGATTCATGTGCATCAGCTGTGGCCCCGACAGCCCTGGAGAAGGCCTATCAATTTGGTCTGACCAGGAACAGTCACATGGGATTTGCTTTTGATGACACAAAAGTCAGAGAGAGGTATGTATTCACAGTGAATAATCATTTTAGTATTTGATTTTGTGGTGCTGCACTACAGCACATCTGGAAGCCTGTTCATTCAGCCTTAACTGCATGAAAACAGTTAAGCAAAGCTAATCAACTAAAGAACCAGGCTTACCGGTGCATTAAAAGCTATCTCTCTCGAGCAAACTCTTTCAAATGAGCGTTGAGCAGCTTTTCTCGCAGTTCACATTCATCTACATCAAAACATACGCCAAGCACGATTGGCTAGAAAGAGCTCACATGAGAAGAGATGCAAACAGATATGATGACACTGCACAGACTGAAACCAAACTACTAATTGTAAGCATCACAAAACGGTCAAATAATCCATCATTGTGACACTTTTGGCATTATTGATAGTAAAGAGGGCAAAATGATGGTCCATCTTCAGCTAGCGCTGTCAGCTGCGAGACGCCGGCTCAGCCGCCATGATAAGAGCTGTGTGGAGGCAATATATACATATATATATATACACACCTTTAAGTAGAAGCATGCAAGTATTATAAGCAAAATGTACTTGAAAGTATTAAAATTAAAAATGCTCTGAAAAATTGCTAGATTGTTTACTATTATATATTATAACATTACTATTACAAGGTGTAGCTCATGTTAACTACTTTATATTTTATTGAGCTATCTGTAACAATGCTTTGTATTTTATTAAGCCAATGCTAGTTCTGTATGTAAAATCTTAAACCACAAAGTAAGTAGTCGTGAAATTAATTTGTTGGAGTTAAATTAAAAAGTAGCCTGCAATGTAAATACTTACATTAAAAGTATTTTGTACAATAAATGTACTTTGTCAGGTTTATGCTTAGATCCCACACTATGGAGTAAATAAATGAAGGAAAACAGAAGTGAGTGAGTGATAGTTTGGACGGGATAAGATACCAACACAGGTGTACAGCAGGTCATAATCCAGGGAAACATCCTCTATAAACAACAGTGTGTTGAATTACTTAACATGTTCTTGACTCGACCGACCCTTAAATCAACCTTTCTGTGTCACAAACTGACAAAAACAACAAAATGATGGAAGGACGATGAAATAAATGCCATACAGATATACACACCCATCAGTTCTTTAGACAAGGCAATGTTTTGTGCACATTTTAGGTACTATATTAATCTAATAGTTTTGTTAATGGATCAGCGGAATAATGAATAGTATCTTGTTAAAGGACTTTGGCTGTTTTGGGAATCAGACTTAACCGCCATTTGACTTCTCATAATCATTTGATTTCAATATTTTACATTTGGTTTAGAAATGAATACGTTGAGTTGTTATTTTTTTTAAGTGAGAATACTTTTTGGGGCATTTAAACCAACAGCCAAAATATTTAAAAATTAAACTCATCCATTGTAGGAAAACAGCCTTTGCAGGAAATTGCTTTGAGGTGCTGTAAGAATCCAGTATTCTGTCCTTCAGTATTCTGATAAAAATGCAGAGCATCACAAAGACACAATGTACCTGTTTTTAGATGATTTACTGAGCCTTTGGTAAATGTTTTATTATATATCTATATATATATATATAGATATATATACATATTATATGTATAATCAAAGATTCATGAATGTTTGTGTGTCTCAGGCTAATATTGGAGTTTGAGCTGAGGACGAAGGAGGAGTCTGGGCTCGTTCTCTACATGGCAAGAATCAACCATGCAGACTTTGTTGCCATACAGGTATCCATCCACTGCTTCAACCGTCATTCTACAAGTTTACTCTTCTGCACAAATTGAGTTCAAGTTGGTTTAAGACTACACAAGTTGCTTCTTTGTCTTAAAAAGCAGTCTTTGACATAAGCTTCAGCCCACATCTTTTTTCCCCCACATCGTTCTGTCTGTGCACTGTGAGACTGTACAGAGGCTAAATGTGTTCGTCTGTTTCACCAAGGCCCCCGTATTCAGGAACAAAGGCCATAGAGGGTCACATTAACCATGTCAGCTTGTCATCCCTCCATCATGACCCTCTGTCTCTCTCCTCCTGTAGATCAAGGACGGACAAGTTTGTCTGGGTTACGATCTTGGTCACGGAAACATATCTAGCTGCGTCCCCTTCTCCATTAATGATGGCAACTGGCACAAGGTAGGACGGTCTTTCATTCATGCTTGCTAAATATAGAATTGCTATAGAATAATAAGTAATTTAGATACTATCCTGGTTATATACTGGGTTTTGGAAAAAGAGTTCCAGGTCAATAGTACTCTACTGACCCACCATATTTTGTCCCTTTCATGTTTCTGTGTCACATGGGAGAATATATTTTAGATTTAAAGAGACTAGATCATTGTCACCATTTGTTTTTTGAACATTAGGTCCTGGAGACTCATTTATCAAAGAAAGTCTGAACTTTCTAGAACAATTAACAGCTAAATTAGTCATGAGTGAACTCTAAATCTCAATTTCTTTACATCCAAGACAACATATATAGTCTCTGTTGGTACTGTGAAAGGACTATACTTATCTATTGGTTTAAATATTTCCTGTTTAATGTTTGTCCATCTAATTGTCTTTCTAACCCTCCTTTTAATATGTTTTCCCTCTCAGATCCGTGTGAGTCGGAACAAGCAGAGAGGGCTACTTATGGTTGATGGGCGATACAGTAAACAGATGATCAGTCCAAAGAAGGTACAATATATATTTATTCTAAAGATTTTCACCTTTTCTCACATGTGAAATAATTTTCATAACTGCGCCTACAAGTAGGTTCATGGCAGTCTAGTCAAAAGAAAATACTTTAAGAAAATATAAAGAAAAATGACCACGTAATAAAGCACAGATATTACAGCCATGCATTTGTTGATCAAGTTTGTTAAAGGATTGTTTATTATTGCATTAATAACTTATCTTCTGTTACCAGGCTGACCTGTTAGACGTGGTTGGAATACTGTATGTTGGTGGATTACCACAAACCTACACCAGCAAGAGAATAGGACCGGTAAAAGACACATACACACACACACACACACTTGTTTTAAGTTTGCTCGTAAGCCCAGGACTCCATATTTCTGTTTAGTTTATATTTATTATTTCAACTAGTTTTGACTAAATTCACTGTCTTCACTTGGTTCAAATGTAACAATCATATAAGAACAGATTATAATTGTGGCCCATTTCTCTAAAAGTGGATATCATGACTTGCAGTCGCACCTGAATACTGCCAACAGAGGATTGTTGATTGATGGGCATCTTTGAATCATTTGTAAGCATGAACCAAACATTCTCTCTTTCTCTGTCCCTAGATTCTCTACAGTATCAATGGATGTATCCGTCACTTTAAGATGGTTGGAGGTGCGGTAAGCACCAAGCCTGCAGCTACAGGTAAGGCATTTGTATTTACGATTGCACATACATTACAGCGTGTAATATGTTACTGGTGGTGGAACGTAATTGAGCGTAATTTGGTGCATTTACAATACTAAGTATTGTACTTAAGTACTATTTTGAAGTACTTCTACTTACACTCCACTACATTAATTTGTTCATTTTAGTTCGTAGTTACTTTGCATATTAATGACTATAATATGTAACAAATGAGTTATGTCTTATTATTGGATAAAATAAGAGTTTATTGATCCTGGGAGGAGCTTCACAAACTTCTACAGTAATTAAAATGAGCTCTACCTTTACCAGCTTCAACAGTGAAGCGATAAACACATGAATGCATCAATAATTATAATCTACTACTATTTATTATCCTGAAAATGGCCATTCTGCATGAGTACTTTTTACTTTAATGTGACGCTGACACATTTGTACTTTAACTGAAGTGACATCAGGCATGCAGGGCTTTTACACTATTGTATTGCTACTTTGACTTAAGTAGAAGATCTGAGTACTTCTTCTGCCACTGCGTGTTACACACTTATAACTATCCAGGTTTGAAATGTCATCCGTTTGTTGTTTATCTTAAATATTTGTTACAAAGCTGTTTTGTTTTTTGCCTCTAATTGATCAATGCTTCCCCTCTCTCGTATCCTAGGCCGCTCTGAGGCGGTTGTTGAGGACTTTAAATTGAACATGGCCGCACCCACCTCCAGTCACATGATAGGAAGATGCTTTGTTGCCACTGAGACTGGCACCTATTTTGAAGGGACTGGCTACCTGAAAGCAGGTGAGATGAGACACCATGGGGTTAGCTACTGTACTGTAGCACCCCAGCAGCTATGTTACAAACGCCTATAAACAACTTAACCCCAGCCAAAATCCAGTCCAGTGTTACTCAGGAAGGACGCACTGTTGCATTTTCCTCTTCTTGTTATAAAGGTGATTAGTAATCACTCTCTCCATCTCTCCAGTCTCTTCTTACAGAGTAGGTCTGGATGTGTCGATAGCATTAGAGTTCAGGACCAGCAGAACCAGCGGAGTGCTCCTAGGCATCAGTAACCAAGCAAACGATGGACTGGGACTAGAGATCGTCGATGGCAAGGTATGATAATAGGACTAGTTCAACATTTTGATAAATATTACAGTATGTAGGTTGAATATGTGTGCTTAAGAAACATCACAGCACAATACAAGTACTTAGATACATATACATACAAATATTTAATTGAATAGCTATAGAACAAAAAGTGAATATGCATTTCTTTCTTTTGCTTCCTGTTCCTGTAGCTGCTCTTCCATGTTGACAACGGAGCTGGACGGTTTACAGCGGAGCACGCGCCTGCGGGCGAGGGCTTCTGCGACGGCCAGTGGCATTCTGTCACTGCCAAGAAGCTTCGCCACAGGGCGGAGCTGGTGGTCGACGAGAATCGGAGCCAAGCAGAGAGTCCGAACGCACGCTCCAACACATGTGACACAAACGACCCCATCTACGTTGGAGGATATCCGGGTACGACTGCTTTCCAACACACATCCTTAAAATAATGAATTTACACTTGTTAACACATAATCAAATAAGATCTATTTCTATGCAGGAAAGTAGCCTCTAGAATAAAAGAGCAACTTTAAATACACATGTTGTATATCAGCACACATTATGCAGTGAAATATCATGGTTTTATGTTTCTCTCTCAGATGGAGTACGCCAGGCAGCTCTCTCCACCAGGACTTCCTTCAAAGGTTGTTTGAGGAACCTGAAGATCACCAAAGCTTCTAAGACCATGGAAGTGCAGTTCAACAAGGCTCTAGAGATTAAAGGAGTCCAGCCTCTCTCCTGTCCTGCAGTAGCTGCCTGAACCTGCACTGGGCACAATGTTTGTATCAATGAGTAAAACACACACACCTTATTTTGTGCAGGTGTGAGGTCCCAAAAGTAGGTAACAGCTGCATCACAGGGACTCGAAACGTCTTAATGCTTCCTTTCAAAATCAGTTTTTCTTCAATTAATTAAGCAAGAGTTTCAAGGCCAGATTGGCTCTTTATTAAGTACAGAGGTGTGTGTCTTTGAATAAACCTCTCCTGTAAGTGTGGCTTGTACCACAGAATTAGTGCCGGACTATCTGATCGAGGCTGTAGCCAAAGTTACCCGAATGCAGTTTTCAAAGACGAGAAGAAAACCAGACTCTACAAAACATTTTCTTAAAAGTTCACCCTCGCATTGGCAGTATGAGACCCTGACTTCATGCACAGTGTAAGACTCTGGTCAATACATATATCCTGGTGACAAATTAGGAACTCAAACTGTTTTAAAATGTGTTTTTGTCCACTATGCAAAGGAAGGTATTAGTTTTAAGACCTGTGCTGTTGTTACAGGTGCTAACAGTGTTCAAGCTAATGACATGTTGTAATGTGTGTGAGCATGAGAGCATTAAATCAGATTTGTTTTTCAGTAGAGTTCCTCTTAAAGAGGGTATCTTGAATCTTTCAGTTATATAAGTTTACCCCCGTTACATAAACTTCTTTGGAAGAAAATGAAACATTTTATAGATTTTGTGTTTTCTCTACATTTGTCCTTCATAAACCTTGTTCCCTGAGATTTTGTTGAGAAAATCTAAATCAATGTCAGAACCTTAGATGAAGTTGAACTTGTTTTCAGCCTCAGTTCAGCTAGAAATCTAAAAATCACACATTCACAAAAAGACATCCAATGGTTCTACATCTACACAAGAGCTGCAGCCCAAATGTCCTCTACCCATTTCATAACCTTTTACAAGTTACGTGATAAACCCAATGACATGAATATGCGTAGTAAAATAATGTGTTGGTTGTTTGGGGGGAAAACGAAATACAATAACAACTATGCCAATTAAGCGTATTGACACTTGCTTCAATAAACAAAATGCTGAGTCAATGATGAAAGCAACTTTTACCTTTTTTTGTGGTGCAATATTCCTTTAACATTCCACACTTCCCTCAATTGATTTGAATGCTAAAATTGAAAATTGTCACACAAGCTGGCGCTTGTATTGCCTTTCATTAATATTAAGGTGCAAGGTTTCTTTAGGACACTGATGGTGGTGCATGTTCTGCATGGTGTGGCTGAAAAATACTTCAGCGGCTATTTCTGAAATATATTCTTAATCGCAGCAAACAAATTGTCCTGTCCTTCTTTCAAACTGAATACGATTATTAGACTTAATTATGTTGCAATGCATTATGGGAAAAAAGAGAAATGTCCTGTGACCCAGAGGGATGCGTCAGGACACCATATGGAATCGTTCGGCACTGTTGAAGGAAATCTTTTAAAACGAAATATTTGTTGGATACATTTATAAGAAGTAATAAGACTGATAATTCATTTGTACTGATACTCCACTAGGTGGTACTACTGCACTAGAGTTAGTATGACAGAGCTTTTTCACAGGGTAAGGTGGATACAGTCTTTCTGGATTGCTACCATATGCGTTTCAAATTGCAGAAAAATTGTTTAAAAAAAATATATATATATATGCTTGCCATCCTGATTTTATTTAGTATTTATTCTGTGTCCTAGTTACCGAGAGGAAAAACAATTAGACAGGGCGTCTGCAGGGTCTTACAAAGTATTAGAAGTTGATAAATCCAATTTGCAACAATTTAGGCTCTTAAAGTTTTTAATATATATATATTGAAGTAATTCTAAACTAATTTATACCATTAGTTTTTAAATACCTTTAAAGCCAATGCTTTTCAGGAGTTTTCAATGTGCGCAACACCAAATTATTGGTTTTAAGACTGACATACTATACCAATAATTTTATTATTGATAAAAGAAATCTTAAACGGTATTAAATTTCACTTCAGTATTCTTGCACAAACAAGATTTTAGAGACAAATTTCCCAGCACTGATATTCCAGATGCACTAGAGGGCGGTATGACTACAAAGAGCAAATATGTCCCTTTTACATGGAACCGCATTCAAAGTTGAAAAGGCTGCTCTTTGGCTCTATTACCACATGTTTCTGGAAACGTTGCATTTCCCCATTTCCTGGGGTGTAAAGGTGGATTTCTTTGCAGCTCCTGGAGGAATCAAATGGACACACATGGAAATAACAGGCCAAATCCATGTCTTTGTTGTGCATTCCTCTTTTATTATCATGGTCCTCTTTATAGTAGAAGGTGAAGAATGGTTCGAGGTCAGCCCACTGACACCGTGTTGCGACCGCCTGAAGTGGAATGTTGTGAAGATAGAATAAAGCCTAACATTATATCAGATCGCTCATTTAAAGCACGTTTTTGTTCAGATTATTTTTGCCAGTACTGTGACATTTCACCGCCACCACCACCAAACACATCAGTGGGATGACACAAGATTAACAACAAGTGAAAGTAAAGCGATAGCCCCTTAAGCTACCATATTAACATGGGTGTAGATAGTAGACAAAAACAACTAGGGAGAAACAACAAAACCTGCGTGGTGCCGGCTTAAGAGTAGAAACCTCCTAAGGAGAGCAGCATTGTTTATCCTCTGCAATGTGACAGCACTGTCCTGATGTCAGGTCTGGTGACTTATTGCATGCCGTCAGTCTTCTTGAACTGATCCAAGGTGAGTTTCAAACGTGGATGGCGGTCCAGTCCGGCTGTCTAGGCATGTTGGGAGCCGTCATCCGCCTCCCACACCCAAACACCCCAGGGTCTTTTTTCCACCTGCTCCCCAGGGGTAAGCAGCTCTTCTGGGTATGGTTCCACCTACTCTTCATCCAGGCCTGGTCAGGACGACTGCATGAGGCCCGTCAGTCGTTTGCCCGTCAGTGACTTGCCCTGGTAGGAAGCAGAGAGATCGAGGTCAAATCATTAAAAGTCTAATCAGCAGTGTTATCTGTGCGTGTAGTGAGCCATAACTAGAAGCACATTTCAATTGTATAATATATAAACCAACTCGAACCTCAATTCAAATTTCGCATCATATTTCATCAATCAATAATCTTCCAATAATGTGCAAATATCACCAAGTAACTACGATCCTTTTCATAAAGTGCTCAGGGATCACTTCATCCACAAGCATCCTCGATTTCTGCTACTTTTCCTGGTCTTCCTCTCGGTATAGTTGTGATTTACCGTAAGGAACCACTGATCAGCAGGCTCATGTCTATGCATCGACATTCACAAGGAGCTTTGCATTGACCATTTATGGATGCGTGTGGGGGGCGGGAGGCTAAACCAGCTGCGCTCATTTACAGGTTGATTTAGGATTTATTAAAAGGAAATTGCGCACTGGCAGTCGACGCACTGTTTTATAAATGAGATCCCCGACCATTCCTTAAGACGGATTTTAAGAAAATGAACATGTCTCCTCAGGGAATGAGCCAAATAAAAGTTTTAAGTCAGAGAATTAGTGAACATGTTTGATCACTGAGCACAGGCAATAGGAACATTAAAACTTTTGATCTTGTAGCTTTTGTGATTATAACAGTGACCAAAAATAAGCCTGAAAATGACTAATGCACAAAAAAAAGAATCAGTCTAATATATCATTCGCTAGTTCTAATAACTAATTATTCCTGAGTTTTGGTCCCAAGAAACTGAGTCACTGTAATCTTTCTTTTTGGTGGGATAACTATATGTACTTTAAAGAATGCAGAAGCAGCGGGACACTCACCACACTACGAGTGAACTTCTCCAGGGAGGTGCGTCGCCCCTGCTCGGTTTCAGGCTGGAGTGACAAAGAAAAACGAAGTTCAACATTTCAGTGTTCAAACCCCCCCAAAAAAAAAATCATGAATGTTGTGCAGAATTTAATATGGTGTTATTATATACACTACCTCTGGAGGTGTAATAAGTGAGTTTCAATAATTCCGGTGAATCCGCCCTATAAGTCGTATCATTTACAATGCGACCTCTGTGAGATCACTCCAATAATACGTTACAATGACTTTTTATGACATAATATGAAATTATTTGTTGGCCTTTTCTATCCTTTATTAGTATAGCTGAAGATTACAGCAAAGGGTCGTGGGTGACTTTTTAATGACGTGGTTTACACTACAATTGTTTTTTAATTGAATGTTAATGACATACTATTACTATAACATTTTTATGAGGCATGCAGTTCATGTCATGTTCAGGGGCAGCGCAAAATGAGGGCCTGCGGGCTACGGTTTTAGAAACTATGTTGTAGATTTAACTACCCAACAGTATATATAAAAGATCAACAACATCTACATCAGTGAAATATACACATCAATGCAGCAGTCATATTAAATGTGATATTATAGTAAAACACTGATGGGGACCAACTGTCTGCAGAATGAGTGCTCTTACTTTGCTAGAGTTTATACAAGATACTGTATGTACACAGGAATGGATTTGTGAAATATTGACAAAAAGAGACATACGCATACTTTCTTCCTCAGCAGGTCCTGGTACACGCTGGAGCGCAAGAAGCGTGTATAGCTGTCACTTTTCATCAGCTTGTAGATGTGGTCCTGAATAGAGACAGTAAGAGGCGCAGAGAGAGAGAGAGAGTGAGAGAGAGAGAGTGAGAGAGAGAGAGAGCGAGAGAGAGAGAATAAATAGTTGCTACTAATGATGTACAAAACTTGTCAAAGTAGAAAAAAGAGGAGAGGTTACATCAGCAGTTGGCACACGCAATTCAAGTCGATGCCATCAAGTTTGACGTATTTGGGGATTCAATTTGAAAAAATAATGCAAACTAATATTTCTCCAGTTTTTCAAGCTACTAAATCTGCTGAACACAATTGGACTAAAACGCTTTTATATTTATTAGGTATTTAATAATTTGCTTAAGGAGATCATCTCTCCCAGGAAAAAAACAAGAGATGGGGAAAGAAGTTGGTGCTCTTGCTCATATGCTGTATTTGTGAGAAGAAACAAGCTCGTGTGGGAGGATGATACCCTCCTGAATAAACTGTTTCAAGGACAGCTGATTTAATCTCCAGCTGTGTGTTATTCTGGGTCTGTTAGCAGACAGTATCATTGTGAAGTAACAAAAAAGATCATGGGTCCATCTGGCTATAACAACAGGATGTAGAATAATATTGAGACACTGGAAATCGTCTAGCCCGTGTGGTTTTAAGTAATGGATTCAGCCGATACATTTTTCACGAGTTACATACAGAGTAATGGGGAGAGGATGTTTTAGAACAAACCTTGGGCTCCTTTCTAGTCCTAACAGAGTGAATGTCTGACTCAATTTAGCACTTGGTATAATAAATTGGTAGATTTAGATGTAACTGGTACACTCGATGCACCCTTTATTTATTTTATTTTTTGTGTTGTCCACGGTTGTGTCTCATAGGAAACTGTATGGAAGGCAGCGTCCACCCTGGGTTTATTTATGTGGAGAAATTGTGGACTTAGGTCTGTTATTCTCCCCTTTGCTTTGTTTGATAGGATGTCATCTGTGTTTTCAGTAAAAAAAAAAAAAAAAAAAAGAGGGAACAGTGAGCACGTCTTTTGAATGTTATGTTGAACTGTTTTGTTCTGTTGTCCTGTCAAAAAAATACATAAAAATCATTGTGAGAGTGAACTAATCAAGAGTCACAGAGGGAGAAATATGGTTGTATCACATTTCCAACTTACTAACTTCTCCTTTTTGAGCCTGTAAGAGGAAAATACAGTTGACAGACACCACGCAACCCCCAACACTAACCTTATCCATCTCCCAGCGAGGAGTATTCTCTAGAAATCACTCCTCAATATAAAGCCATTAGTTGGTATTGGTGAAGCGTGTAAGAAAGACAAATGGGGCAGACAACATTGTGGGATAGCGTTTCTGAAGAGGCAGCACTGACACTGATCACCTAAAGAGATATAAATTAAAAGGGTGATAGAGCCTTTCTGAATGGTGCTTAGAATACTTCCCTGTAGTGCGAGAGACGTTGTGAGAACTGAGCTGCATTAGTATGCACCTGCTCCTCTTATACATTGGCCTCCGTTAGAACGTATCCCTATGGCAGCTGCAGCATGTGGCTAAGAAATCCTGTTCCACAGAAAATGAAAGGTAGATTTAAAAGGTATAGTTCCACCTTTTCGGGTAATGCGTTTAGTTGCTTACATAGATACCATGCTCATGTCTGTTTGCTAAATATGTAGCAGTCCGCAAGTTAGTATAAAGCTTGGCTAAGAAAGAGTCCAGGATACGACCCCATTGAGTATATTATTGAATCTCAGACAGGGTCACCTTTCAGCTAACAGGTGCGAATAAACACATTTGGCTCTTGCATCACCAAAAGAAACTCTGCATGGTATTTTAAGTACATGGATTATTTTCTTGCTCTCTCTTTTAAATCTAATTTGCAAATAGCAGTTGTATAGATTGTTTGTTCTGTGTGTGGGTGAGGGAGTTTATGAGGTTCTGTGAAGTGTTTCATTCAAACTGGGAATGTTAAAACTGGAGCATCCGTGGGGTGAGGAAAGGCTACATCTAGCATTGTGACGCTATTACCGTTCTTGCACTACCATAGATGTATAATGACACTCCGTTATACTACACTCCAAACTACTATTCCTTCTCTGTTTCTTCCTGTATCTCGTGTTTTCTCACCTGTGCGTCCTCATAGCTGTATCGTCCGGGGTCTTTCAGGTTTTGGCTCGTGCGTTCATAGCTGTGAGAGTCCAGGTTTATGGAACTGGGTGCTCCCTCTGCCAGAAACTCGGCCCAAATTTCCTGCGCCCTCTGGGCAACTTCCTGCTGGGGCATCCTCTTCAGGGCCTGCACAGCCAACCAGAACCTGCAATACAGATCAAATTCCCCTCAGATAATTACTGGACTTAAAGAGCGTTTAAACAACCTGATCATGTAAAACAATGCACAGAATTTGTTTTTCTGTGGGAATTTATCTGCAAGAGATTAAGCACTTTCACGCAATAGTATTTAACAATCTTTTATCATTTAAGATCGAGTAAAAAACATTTTTCCAAGAGAAACATCTTGGAGAGTGTAACGTTGGAGCATTTCACTTGTTTCCACTGAAAAAGCTTAAGCCTAACATCCACCAGCACGTGTAAAGTTGTCGACCAGATTATGCCGTAAACAATTGGGTTGTTTAGATGGACACTTTTAGAACAAAATGGGATTCAAACATACATGTAACGGTCTTGTGAACTACACAAAGTGAATGTAAAAAGTAAATGAAAGGGAGTGTAACACACAGATTTGTATTTTCACTGTTGCAAGCCTGTGCAATTGTGGAACCTGTAAATAAAAAGACTTCAGTGGGCACATTTAACGGCATTCTTTTATATGATTGACTTAGGTGTTTTTGGATGTTCAGACTTGTAAATATCCAGTATAAGACAGTTGTTATAAAGGGAAGCAGGCAATGAACTGTTAAACATCAGAGGCAGCAGAGAGCCACAGGCTGCATGCCTCCTATATTAGTTGTGTATCTATATTGATCTGTGGACTAGTTCAGAGATACTAATATAGAGAGAGACACTCTGGGGTCTGCTTCTCTGTTTCTCACTCGCTTCCTCGGTAGTGCTTTTCCAAAAGCTCCCTCATAAAAGCAAAAGTAATTAAAGGTCCAAAAAAAGGAACAAGAGAGAGGGAGACGAGAGGAGACTGGTAGGATAGCCAAGAGGTAAGTAGTGATGAGGGTGTATGCTCTCTCTGTCATGTGTGCGTTTTCTCCCCATGTAGCTCAGAGGTATCAATGACCTCCATGTTCTCTCTCAGAGTTCATTACCAAACTGTGATTCCTAACAAATCTCTCATCTCCTTCTCTCTCTTGCCGTTTGAAATGATCACTCTCACTCTCCCTCACATACGCATCACAAAGACTCGGGCTTAATGCTGCTCTGTTGCATAAAGGCCTAAACACGATGTAAGGCCATGAATCTATGTCGAAATAAGGGATGAAGTTAATCTCACTGTAAATCAATAACTTCATTAAATTACAAGAATACACACTTGCACATTAGTGTACATACTGTACAAGCACACACACACACACACACACACACACACACACACACACATACACACACACACACACACACACACGTAGTCTTCATGCTAAGCTAGGCTAGTAGCTGATTAGCTCCAGTTCCATAACATACAGACATGAGTGGTATTTTCAATGTGTGTATTTCCAAAATGTCACAATAATACTTTAACTTCTATTGTTATTCACAGCAATTCATTTTATATTGTATGAAAGAGCTACAAAGGTGGTGAAAACAAACAAAATACAACAGATGTTTAATTCTATTCTAGATGCTCTCATAGCTCGTTATTGCTCTTACTAAGTTTCTCAATAGGCATCAGTTCAGGATCATTTCATCTGATCTGTTCGCGTAACACTTTTTTTTTTTTTTTTTTTAGTTCCGCTGCTGCTGAGAAATCATTTCGAAGAAACCAGTTACTGATGCATCTTGCTGAGCAAAACTCAGAAAGTAATTGACTTTCAAGTCTATGTGTCTGCAGCTCAACAGGATGTTTTATTCCTGCCCTTCTCATTCCTGAAATGTTGTGTTTATGACATTTTGATTTCTGTGAGTGGCACCTTTTTTTCTTTGTGTGTTCAAGGTACAGATCTCCTGTACTGGCAACAGGAAAATAGTTCACTTGTTATTTGTTTCTTCCTGTGTTGACAGTGCACAAGTGGGTTGAAATGGTAGGTTGGAACAATAGGGATGCCAAAGAGAAATCTGTCTTTTCTGTCTATTTTCAGAGCAGTGAAAGCTTTTGTATAACTGTTGTACTCTCTTCAAATGTCACAAGTAAAAATGCACAAAAAGTGCATTTGTACAGCCTTAAATTTACATAGAACTATACTGTATGTCAGAAAATTCAATTTTTCTAATGCTGAATACATTTTCCCTTAAATACACCCCTTTCCTCCACTTTCTTTACAACAAACCCGAAATGTAAAATGGACCACCACCGTGCACCATGTGATTTTTTTCACTAGAACAGCAGATGTAAAAGTTATCATGAATTGTCAAAAATCACTACAACTGTTAGAAATGAGTATTGAAGATTCGTGTGTGCTCACCGCAGGTTTTCTGAGCTAAACTCTGACTCCAGGAACTTTAGGAAGAGCTCCTGTCCTGCCGGGTCCTTCAGGGCCTCCTCCAGAGAGAAGCCCCACTTCTTCACCCTCTGTTGACTGGGCTCCTTACTGGGAGGGATGGGAGAGGATGGAGAGTAAGAGGCGGTGTAAACGTCAACCTTACGTTGTTGCAGGGATGTCAAGTTAAAAAAAAGATATTTAATTAAAGGGAAATGGTGGAGAAATGCTCAGTGTAGGGAGGGCTGATGTTGATGTGAGATTGGTGTCAGGAAAGCTGCGCATTATGCTATTATTCATCAGAAAATCAATTGTAATCTCGAAGGGAATATATTTTCTCCTATCCTACAATTAATGAATTCAGCTGAATTATTAAACTACATTAGGCACAATGATCATACGTCTGCTCTAATCAATTCCTGCATAATTCAGAGCAGGCCAGAGCACAGTGCAACTCGTTGAGAGCTGCGACTGCCCTCTGTAATTCTTCAGTTCATCACCTTCTTTTGTCAAGATAACATTTCAAAAGATGATCAATTATTTGACTTTGTCCAATACGTGTTTGAAACACAAACTGAGGTGGAATATTTGATTAGGATTGATTGAGTAAGCTGAGCGACCTCTGACTTTCGTTCACTAATTCAGAAAAAAGCCAATCACTTCCAGTCCTCATCGCTGCCGTTAAACCACTCTTGATTCTACAGTATTGATCTGTTTTATTGTGCTGTGGTTTAAGATACAATTTCTAAAAAAGGGCTGAAATAATCTTAAAAGAAAAACTGACGGGATTTTTGACAATGTTTTTTAGAATTCAATAAACGTCCATATCCAAAAATATATTCAACGTGGACTTTTTTTTAATAGCAAAAACAGTCCAACAAATTTCATCAGACATGTCTAATGTAATTTAAAAGAGTAGTCCACTGATTAAGCAATGCAGCCCTATAACATTGTCGGACTTGGGATGAACTGAGTTTTTTTTTTATTATTATCTCCATGCTCCATAAATCAGTCAAATTAATGGAGCGGAGGGAGAGATATCGTCTTATTTTCCCACATCAAAACCTGACACCTAACCCAGAAAATATAAAATCGCTGCACATTCCAAACACGGATTAGCACTTTTTCTCAGACTTTGATATGTGACTGACCAGTTAAACTCTATCAAAGAAGGACGACATATGCACTTGGCTGTGAAAGTGGAACATCTTTGGTTTCTGTTCTTATACCTGGCCTCCAGATCCCAGAGGGAGGGGTCATCGCTGGTCCAGGGGTTGGACGGCTCCTGTACCGTCACAAACTGGTCATAGTCCATGTACTGCTCGGTGTAGCTTATCAGACTGACACACACACACACACACACACACACACACACACACACACACACACACGGGAGGTTGAGGGCATAGCTGGTCAAAAGTTAAGAGACAAAGTTTAACACTGCACCCATTTTTGAATGTTTCAATATTCAATCAATCAATATTTCCCCTGTTAAACTGATTTAATTGTAACTTGAATGCTATCTGAAGTTGATTTAGTAAATTATGAAAAAATAAATCGTTAAGCAGGAACATCTGTTCTGATCAAAAGCTCAGATGTGATCCTCCTACCTCTCTTTGATAGTCTGCGAGAAACAAGAACCGAGAGACAAAGAGGAGAAAAAAGTGCAACAACAACAGCAGGACTATGAAAATGTTTCTCTGCTCACAATCTTATCACAAATGTGGTTTCTTTATGACATCATTTAAGCATAATGCAGTATCTATAACACATTTGAGTACTTACAAGCTTTGGAAAAAAAATGATTATGCCAGGTCATGGTCAAGTTTTCAAGAAGAGACAAACGCATCTCAGATGTATGCAGTGTGAGTGCAGTAAGCAACAACACAAGGCAAGAGGAGACTCAGGACCACGGACAGCGAACACAATCCATCAAAACCTGCGCTCTTACTTTGTTTGGGAGTTCATGAGCAGTGCTTTGAGAGACAACACGTAAGACTATCTTTGCTCACTACCTTCAAAGCTCTGCACTTAGTTTGCATCCCAAACAGGAAAGCTCCAAAAGAACAATAAAATCTATTTAACAGGAAGTGAATCATCATCCAGTGAGAGCCTGCCTTTGACTGCACAGTGAGCATCTATCAGCTTCTTTATTTTCTGAAAGATGTGCTAAAATAGCTGCAGGGTATCACATTAAAATAGGATTCATGCACGTTTGTCTTTACATGCATCCATAAGCACAACGCTGCAATGGTTCAGTCAACACATTGGCATATATTATTTTGTTTCAACAGCAGTTCAATCTCACTGTTACAGCTGGATCTCTGACAGAAAAACACTCCAACCTACAGTAGTACCATATGTTTACTGACCTAAAGAGTAATCCCATCTGACAAATTATTCTTAGCTCTGTACAAGGAGTCAAGAAGTTAAAGGGTCATGGAGGCAGAGCAGCGCAGCAGCCAGCAGTAATCACAGTTTTCTGCTCTGCTGGAAAGTAATGGCTGTCACGACTGACTGAGCAGAGGATGGGACTGTCAGGCAAGCAAACACAGGAGTAGATATGCCACACAGGGAGGATAGAGAATAGAGACACATGTATACATGTATTTTTTATCTATAAGGAAGGTGGACAAAATACCAAGAATGCCTGTACAACTTAACGCAATTCAACACAATATCATAATAATAAGATAATAGCTCTAACATTTGTAAAGCTTACAATGTGTGCTACCCTGTTCACACCCAGCAGCATCTTATCCAGTTTGCTCTGACCAAACCACCCTACCCAGTGCAATCAATTTTTGATTACTTTGACATGGAAATCTGCCAGCACGGTAAGATGCTTTTAAAGCAAATCTGTTTGATTCAAGTAATTAAAAAAATTCAACCTGCAATTTTTTTCAATTCTGGTGCAGCGACGTCCTGAATTCTTTGTTGTTTACAGATACAAACACCTCAAACAAGTGGATTTCTTATGGCAACAGGTTACAATATTATTAGGGCAGCTCCTATTTTTCTCTTTTCAATAGGCTGTCACATAAATGGGAGTGGGAGTAACATGCAGGTTGACCTGTGCCTTGCACTTGGACCCCTATTCCTCATTGCCAAACCAATGAGGGGAAGCAGGGAAATCCAGGGAGAAACCACAACCTACTAAACCTGTAAACCTAAACTTATCAGCCCCAAACAGAAAGGACAACATCAGTAACGTTGTGGAATTCAAGCTCTTATCATGCTTACACTCTAATACCAAACAGACACCACTACAGGTTCAGAACAAATCACCCTCCATCTGCCGCTGCTCTTGTACCGATATAATAGAAGGGAATTCAAGAGAGCACGGGTTTGTGTGATTATAGATGGCCAGAGACGGCACAGCAGATGTGAAAGCAGGCAGGCGAGATCTTTATGAGAAAAGCTGGTGTCTCCTTCTCAGCGTGTGTAGATTGAAAAGATAAAGATCAGACATGCTCTTCATGATGTGCATAGATTTCCCTTTACTGTACCTTTCAGCAACTTTCGACATCTTCATACGGTGACGGTCTAGCTGGGTGTTCAGGAATAAGATCTGAAAGAGGAGATGACAGGAGTCAGTCTTGGTTTATGTAATACAAAATAAGTTGTTTTGTGGTGAAAAACAATCTCCCGTTGTGCTAGAAAACATTACAGTTTCTGCAATATTTCACCAGATAGCATAAAGTGTAATATGCAGTATAGAGGCTGTCATTGTTGTCGGCAACACTTCATTGGGAGCACAGTACAAATGTATATATACATTTTTTTTAAATGAGGTAATGATTTTGGCAGAATTTTACCTCTTTCTCTACATCCTCCTTGGTGCCTTTCCTGCAGTGATGCAAGGGAGTGTGTATGGGACTCTGAGACGGTGTTCCCTCCTCCGCCAAACCGTACACTGACTGGGCGGTTTGAAGCGGGAGAGAGATATTAGAGAGATTCAATGTGTACTTATTGTTTTCTCGCAGCGCAGATAAGGTATGAAATCAGCTGCTAAGAAAGCCACAATGCACTTGTATAATTAAATAGGATACAAATTCATAATTCAAAAATAATTGCTTGCATGAATGTACATTTCATTAAGAAACAGTGTCGCTATAATTACGTTATTTGTCAATTTATGGCCACTGTAATTAAAGTAATCTGCATTTTTATGAATTTGCAGTATTTTTCATTATGTACATTTATTGTAACAGTAAGTGGAGGTTTTAAAATAATGTATTTTTTAAAAGAGGAGCTTTTCTTTCTTTGTCTAAACCTTGGAAGACCTTCACCTTCAAAAGCTTCCCACCCTGTCATTGGAGCTTATACCTTCTTAACTCTGTGGGGGTTCTTCATGCGTCTACATTTCCTGATGTCCATCTCTGTCGTGTTCACACATCCGGGCTGGAGAAAACACAAGCAGAAAAATTAAAATAAATCTGTATTACAGTCAGTACTGGTGATTTTAGATTAACCCAAAGAGAGCTGTGGATGATGAAAACAATAGACAGTACGTGGGTGGAAGATGGAGTAGACGGCTACAATCTCACATGCACATACAGAGGCTTACCACAGGTCTATGGACGTCCCAGAAGGCTCTCTCCTGACTGTCAAGGATCTTCCTCTCGGTTTTATCCTTTTTCCTGTCGATCCTGCAGATGAGATGAGTCAGTGTGAGAAATACAGCATGCGGCAGTTGAATCAGGATGGAAGGAAAAGAAGGGGAGAGAGAAAGCCTGGAGATTATAGAGTCTGTACGCCCATCAGTTTTGAACAATATTGAAGCTCATGTGCTCAAAAGGTTTGCCGTGGTCCTGCACCTGTCTGTGCACCATCTCTTGTGTGTGTCCACTGATGTGTACATACTACAGCACTGACAGTACACACTGTGGACAGATCTACGGAAAGGACATCGTTCCTTTGTAGTTCAAATAAAAAAGTGACCTACTGTGTCTTTACTTGGAAATGAATGGCCTTCCCAGAGAATAAACAATTTAATGTTCTACCACAATTTAGTTAATAGTGGAAAATAACTAAGTAAGTGTACTCAAGAACTGTACTTTTGTGAAGTAAAAGTACCTCAAAATTGTATCGAGTATTCTAATTTCACACTTTATATTTTTGCTTTTCTATATGTGCTTTACTCTTTACATAGCTATATGTTTGTACATACACAGCTGGTTACTTGTCACATGTTCTACCTTAACCAAGCTGGTAAAGGAACATAGTTCTGTGTGACCACTGGCTTTTTCAAAAATGTTTGGTCACACCGACCGGAAAGAAATTCTTAAAAAGAAGCTGCAAGCAACTGGCACAATCACTCGGTTGCAGGTGCGCACACACATGTAAAAATCCATGCAGGGTCCATAATGCTTGTTTTTTTTATCTACAGATCTTGGGACTATGTTGAACATACTGTTCTCTACACCTTAGATTCAGCGTATATCAATAAATAAATCTCTGGTTCAGTCAGGTATCCATCTTTGTTTTTTTTCTTTTTTACCCTCTTCTTTCTCCATTTCCCAATTCCTATATGTTCCCAAAGCTTACGGTCCATCATTGCTAAATTATGAAAAGGATTTATCATGTTACATACCTCAGAAACATAAAGCAGTAGACCTACGGAGCCCCACTAACACTGGACAGTTAATGTATAAGAAACACTACAGCAGAGTTAATGTCTGTCAGAAACACTCTCTGTTCATGATGTGGGATGTCGCACATTGAGGTTTTATACTGTAGTGTTTGTCTTTTACCTTAGGTGTGAGTGACATCACTGCATGCATGGTAGTTTCATGAGTTGCTGTGGTAACAGAGCGCACTTACTTGACCTGGGCCTCAGCCTGCATGTAGATAAACTCCCACTTCCTGGCAAAGGCTCTCTGCAGCCTGGCTAGGTTCTCCTGTTGGAGAGAAGAAAGAGACAGACATGTTATGATCACAAATCTCGAAGGAAAAAATACATTAAAAACTTGTAAAAATTAAAAACCATAGCTTTGAAGTTTCTGAGATACAATATAGATCTGATATCATCACAGACACATGAATCTGACCTTCAGGGGATTGTGATTTTCTGCCTCGAGCTTGACACACAGATCAATCCTAAGAAGTATTGATCCGTCTATAGAGGGAAAATCCAGCACTCACCGCCTCATAATCTGCCAGCTCCAGCCTGGTCTTGTTCTGCATGGTCCGCTTGCACAGGTAAATGGCTGCAAGGGGAACAGATGCAATCGAAGACTGGGATTTATCAGTATGGCCGCTATACACATTCCCCTTCATCCATGCATCTCTCGTCCCCTATGTCCCTGCCTCACCTCTCCTCACCTCCCGTGGTACGAGAGTATAATTGGTTTCAGAGGCCGCCTGTCCACTTATCTGTTGCTTTAGGAAAATAAGGTGGAGTGTGAAGAGGCGCTGAGCCCTAAACTCCAACCACGGTGGCCTCTGTGACAGGATGAAGGGCAAGAAGTGGAGTGGCGATTGACTAATCCTCTTGACTTGTCCCCTCTACAGCAAAGGGTACACGTTGTGTTCCAGTTCATAGCTCAGTGGGAGGTCCTTTGTATTTATGTTCAAGTATAACCTTATACTAATATATATGTGTGTTTTTAATCCTACAAAAGGTATAATAATTAACAATTGAATTATGTCAAATCCCATTGTTGACACTATATTTGATACATACTGGTCCAGCCCCACTGTAAATTAATAATTAGTTTTCCACATGTCATAGCTGTACAGTCACTATCAAAACTGTGCATGTAAAGTAGAAACTGAGAATTATTTATACAGTATAGTTGTTTCTGCAGATAAGATTAACATTGTGGGAGCCGAGCTATAAATAATCACTTACAGCTACACAATAATTAGTTTTCAGTCTTTATTTAATAAGATGTTGCTTGGTGAAGATAGAAGATTTGTAGGAAACACTTTCTAAAGTGCTGTTTGGGATCCAATTGATCACTTTGTTAGTTCTGAATATAGAGGAGTAAATGTCAGTTATGTGTGGATAATGCACTCAACTTTAGCCTCACAAGCACTTGAAAGCGCTGTGAATTCAATTTACAGACCGAGTACTGGTGAAATATTACAGTTGAGACATTGATACTGATCAACGGCTCCATCAACACTCCTTCAGATATCGTATTGTCGTCTTTTGTGCCATTCAGTGGTACTACGTATTTATATTACAACACCATTCTTGGATAATCAATTTGATTTAAAAAAAAAGCATTAATCCTTCAAAACATAGAGGAATACATACATACGGACGATTTATCCCAAGAAATGTGTGTAAACAAAAATGTTAATGTGTCCCTCTTACCATAGTCTGTGTTCTCAGGCTCCCAACAGTTGGACGGCCAAAAATACGGTGCCTGATGGGAAAACAAAGTGAAAAAGTGAGAGTGAAAAGATGAGGATCAGCCAATGGTTAGTTATGATACCGTTGTTACGTCTCTGACACACAGCAGAGCACATGATCGCAATGCACCACTATGTGAGCAATACAAATGTTTTCATTATCAGTATTGAACAGATTCAGAACAGCTGACTCCTAAAACGTTTCTCTTGGTAAGAGGCATCCTGGGGTACAGCAGAGGCGTGGGAGTACTGCAGCAACACAATAAAGTGAGTAGCGATGAAAGCTGCAAAATAAACAATTGGAAAGCTGAATAATAAAGCCAGCAGGCAATGAGCAGCTGATAGGATTGGTATTTGACATTACTTGCAGGGTTTTGAATCGCAGTTTCAAAACCATCTTTAGTTGTTTCAAATGAAAAGAGATTTTTAATGGGTGTTAATTCTTTTGATTTTCCTCCTCTGTGTTTCTCTTCACCTTGCAATTAATTTGCCTGGAAAATGAAATGCTAATGAATGGTGATTATCTTTATGTAGCTTTTCTACTATGGGGAACGGCCTTCCTCCTCCTCCTCTTCTCCTCTTCCACTTCCCTTTGAAGGAGGAGATCCAAGGTCAAAGCACGGTAATGTGCACTGCCGTCTCGTTTAATTAAACTGCTCCTCTAGCTCCGGTGGAGACTCAGCCCTCCAACAAGACTCAGTGAACATGGAAGCAGGAAGACACACAGATCATTCGTATCTCACCGTGTGCCGCCTTGCTGTTCCCCACTGAGGAAGGTGAAAACATTGTTTCCTGTTTTTAATTAGGAAATTCTGGATAAAACTGTCTGATATAGTTAATCAGTGACTTTAATGGCACTGTTTTATCTGTGAACAGTCAAGGAGCAGTAAAATGTCTTTCTTTCCTTATTGTCCCATGATGAGACTCTAATTCTAGTGCAATACTCAACTACACCATGTCTTTTGGTAGCCGCCCAGTCAGCCCGAGTACAGACCTGCTTCCCTCGCCCGCTTGATGAATATTTGAACAGATCACCATTCATTTTTAATCGGGTCACAGGATCCCAGCATAGTACTGAAGAAGCTGTGGACAACGGACAGGGCCTTTTGTCATCAAGATCAAGATCGGCGTGTTGTAATTTCATTGCTGAACAAGTCATCTTCAACAGTTGATTAAGGTCTTTATGAAACGTATGCGCCCTCACAATGAGATTAGCCTCGCTGGACTTTTCAATATCTCTCACACTAATGCAGGATTAGTTTGAGCTTAGGTCCGTAACGAAAGGCACAGGCAATTTGCATTTATTGAAGAAAACAATAGTAAACCATTAAAACAAAGAGCCATTATTAGAAAATCAAGCTTTTTACTCACAATACGTGAAGGAAATGCACAATTCCAAGAATGTCATTCTAGTGAAGGCCCTGGCTTTGTGTATTTTAACCATTTATCAAGCTCTTTTTCACCGGCTGAAATGTCCATGAGCATGCTAGCGTTTGCCATTTAGTATGAGACACAAAGTATAGGGCTGATGGGGATGTAATTGATTCTTCAGGTATTTGGTTATGAATTAAAGTTAGTTGATAGTTCTTCCTGTCGCTACGAGGACCTTGTCCCATCTTTCTTACTTTTGAGTGTTGAATCTATACATTGAGAATCTAGAATGCTGCTACGTAATATTGTGCATTTACTGTAAAGTAAATCCTTTACCCGTTTGAGCTGTAAACTAATCCAGCAGATGTCTCTCAAAATTCAATCTGAGGTCACAAAATGCAGAATCAGATACTTTCTCAGTTCTCTCAGCAATGACCTCATACATGTAATTGTAATTTTAACAATGTTTCAAAATCAATACGTCAGACTTGTTGGCAACATTTGATATTCCACTCAGTATCAGGGGACAAAGGAGAAGTTCAACAGAGTCCATTACCAATTCCAGGAGTCTCAACAGACGATGTAACCCTCTTAACCCAAGACACACCAAGAAGCAAATGTTCACAGAACTCTCTTTACTGCACGGTGTTTAAATATAGAGAACATGTAGAAATAGCCACATCTGCCTGCCGCAGCCTCCTCTGTGTCTTCATCGTCTCGTAATGCTCCTGCTCACCTGAAAGCGGTAGAAAGCGCCGTCGTCTTTGAGGGAGAGGACGTGGTCTGAGATAGGGAAGAAGTACCCCTGAGCTGCAATGAGACTCCCGACGTGCATGGCCTCAGCTGTGACAGGAAGAGAACGAGTGCTGATCACTGTGGGTTCCTCAGTACTAGTCTCAGAAAGTCACTCGTAAGGGAATATCTACTGTATATATATATATATCTATCTCTCTCTCTATATATATATCTATCTATCCATCTCTACTCGGATGGAATGAACTCAGTGGTAGCAATATTAAGACAATGCAATCAAACTAGACACTCCTGATGTTTTAGGGGGAAAAGTGAAGCAGCTGCCAAATACAACAATCTTCAGAATAGCATTTTCTAAAGTGTTATGGCATTAAATGTCACACAGTGTCTGCATTCAAAGTTTTTGATAACAGTTTGCCATCTTCCACAGCCTGTTGTATTCTTTTGAATTTAAATTGCATTTCAGCTATAGGATTCAGGACTGAGGTGGTTTGACTGAGGATGACTCAGTGATCGACTCAGTCCAGGCTGTGGGCTATTGCACCAACAATAAACACTGCTCTCCCACCACCATGCCTCAGGTCAGCTCAACGAAACAACAAATTCATAACAACTTCGGGCCATTTTTTTGTTAAATCCTGCGTTTCCCTATTTCCTTGCTCATTCTGTTGTTTTTGCCTGTTTTACCTTGTGGATAACTAAATCTGTTGATAATGTTTGAGTTTCTTAAGATAAACTGGAAGGCAAACTGCAAGATATTCTATTCATTTCTAACATACCCGTATTTGTGTTTCTGAAAAGATAACATTTAACGGATTGTAAGACCTGCAGTGCCTACCCACACACTGTCTGACCTTTCATAAACTGGACCGCTGTGACAAACTCCTGTCTAAACTCCAGCCTCCTGTTATCTAGCCATTTCAAGAAAGAGCTCAACATTACAATAAATATACATCATATATACATAGAACTCATGCTTTCATATTAATTGTCATTAAAAATTGGGAAACGCTGCACCCAGTAGGTTTCTATGTATACTTGTTACAATATTGAAGTGCCTTTTAGTGAATAAAGGCCTGTAGTGCTGACACTAGCACTGCAGTCTTGTATCATTTGTCAACACTTACCTGGATCCTCAATGGACAGGTTCTTCATCAGCCACTGTACAATATCTGTACCTGAATCAGGTCAGACAGAGAAAGACAAATGATGGTTGTACAGTGTATGGACACACATCTGGTAGAGATGGGGCGTGATTTAAGAAATAGAAGGAAATGGGGTAGAGTGAGAAAAGCAATAGAATCATCCCTACTCATTTTAACCACATTTGGGACTAAATGTAAATGTATAAATAGTCTTTTCCATTACTTATCCCCTTCAAAAACAAAAAAATGAATGGAATAAGACGAGATTAATTAAATTGAAAGCAAGAAAGGCCATGGTAAACTCAAAAACTGCATTTGAAATTATGCGTAATAGAGGATAATAAATATTTAAAATTTGATAAATAGAACTGCAAGCTAAATTAAAGAAACAGCTTCAAAATAAGAGCACCCGATGAAGAGGAAATAAATATTCTGACCGCTTCATCTCAAGCAGTTGGTCTTGAAACAGATACATCAACCAAGACAAGTCTCACACTGCTCAGATTTAAAATGATCTCTCCCCACTGACACTGGGTTAAGATACTAAAAAGTTTTTTTTGTCGGAGGAGATAGACTTTCATCTCATCTGTGCTTTCTCCCCCTCTGCTTCATCTGAGTCCCGAGAGGAGGCGGCGTTTAATTCTTCACCATTCATTAGTTTCCTTGCCCTCGGCACTCATCTACAAACATTTGAGCTGCTGTTCTGCACATCCATCCGCTGCTGTAGTAATTGTGTTTATTGATATGCTCTGCTTATGGCAAACTGGGGTAATGCATTTTCCATAAGTGCAAGGACTGAGACAGTGAAGAAGAAGAATGTTAATGGCCTTTCTTTGTTTCCATCATTTGTTAGGGGTGAGTCAAAGCCTCCCACTGTGGCTCCAGACTTTAAAGTGATTTAGATTATCAATCGAAGCAACAGCAGCCAGCAGGCAAGGTGGTCGACTTCAATCCCCACCTGACAGGTACAAGTGGCTCACAATGTTGTTATTTTTCCATTTGAAATGTCATGCGCATGTTTCCTAATAATGCAGTTCAAGACATTGACACCTAGAGTCCCAGCTCTACTGAAGCAGTTGGAGGTTGATTGCCTTGCTTAAGGGCACATTGACAGTAGGACAACAGCATTAGTCGCTTCGCTTCCACACTTTCAAACATTTAATCATATAATGTCCTCCTACTTTCCCTTCAGCTATTCTCCAGTGAGCCACTGCTGAAGAAACGGAGCAGCAGCCGAAACAGAACCAGAATGAAATGCAGCCACAACACACACGTATGTATATCGATCCATCCATGTTAGAAGAGAGATGGAGAGATATTGCAAGTTAACAGGAAGTGCTTCCCTGACAAAAGTAAATTACATAATGCAATACCAAATAGAACTTTTGGGAGACTATCCTAACCGGAAAAACAGCAGCATCGCTTGTTTGATCAAAAACTAATACATATTTTTGACGGCAATAACAAACAAACAGTCTGTAGCTTAGGGTTGAGGACTTGTTGTTTTAGAAGGATTTATCCACCTTATTTCAAGATGTAATTCACTTAACAACCTAACCCTAAAACCAGGATCCACAAAGAGGATTGGGTGGATGGTCTCCTCAGGGCCCCCCTTTTGACTTTCTCACTTGGAACAGTGTTTGCACAGTGACATCTCTTTCTCTCTCTACTTCTTACCTGTAACAACGCTGGGGATTTTGGTCATGAAACTTTTCACAGTTCTGATGGGCACGCCGTCCACTTCATCCTGGATGAGAGTGACAATGTCCTCAATCTGCAGGGGATGGCCGGCAAAGAGGACAAAAAGAGGGACAAAGACAAAAAGAGAAAAGCAGATACAGTTAAAAAACAAGTTAATTAAGATTGAAAAACATTTATAAGCTGACCTGTTAAAAAGGAGCTGCCTGTGAAATTAGACACAGCACAAAATCTGGGTGCTTCATTTAAGCACAAACAGAAACAAAGTTTCTAAATTCACTCCTCCGTGAATCGCCACCTTATCGTGGTGGAGGAGTTTGAGTGGCTCAGTGATCCTGGGAGCTATGTTGTCCGGGGCATTAGCCCCTGGTAGGGTCTCCCAAGACAAACAGGTTTCAGGGGAGAGCCCAGACCAAGAGCGGTTCAAAACAACCCCTATGATAGTTAGCCCACGGACTACAGCCACCTCGCCCGGACCAGGGAAACCGGGGCACCCTCCCGGAGCCAGACCCAGGAGGGGAGCTCGTAGGCGAGCGTCTGGTGGCCGGGCCTTTGCCCATGGGGCCCGGTCGGGCTCAGCCCGAATAAACACCATGGAGCAGCCACCCTGTGGACCCACCACCCGCAGGGACAAGCATCGGGGTCGGGTGCTATGCAGACCGGGCGGCGGGTCGGGCGGGAGGCTCGGGCATGCCGATCGCCGGCGGCATAGACTAGCTCTAGGGACGTGGAACGTCACCTCGCTAGCGGGGAAAGAGCCGGAGCTGGTGCAGGAGGTGGAGCGATACCAGCTAGAAATAGTTGGACTCACCTCCACACACAGCACTGGCTCTGGAACCAAGCTCCTGGAGAGGGGTTGGACTTTGTCCTTTTCCGGAGTTGCCCAGGGTGAGAGGCGCCGGGCGGGAGTGGGGATACTCACGAGCCCCCGGCTGAGCGCCGCTGTGTTGGAGTTCTCCCCGGAGAGCGAGAGGGTCGCCTCCATGCGCCTTCGGGTTGCGGGGAGCAAGGCTCTGACTGTGGTTTGTGCTTATGCACCAAACAGCAGTTCAGAGTATCCGGCCTTCTTGGAGTCGGTGGGAGGGGTCCTGGAAAGGGCGCCGCCTACCGACTCCATAGTTCTCCTGGGGGACTTCAACGCTCACGTGGGCGATGACGGAGAAACCTGGCGGGGGGGTGATTGGGAGGAACGGCTTGCCCGATCTGAACCCGAATGGTGTTTCGTTATTGGACTTCTGTGCTTGCCATGGTTTGGCCATAACGAACACTATGTTCGAACATAAGGTGGCTCATAAGTGTACCTGGTACCAGAACACCTTAGGCCGGAGATCAATGATCGACTTTGTAATCGTATCATTTGATCTGCGGACGTATGTCTTGGACACTCGGGTGAAGAGAGGAGCAGAGCTGTCAACTGATCACCACCTGGTGGTGAGTTGGATCAGATGGCAGGGGAACCAGTTGGAAAGACCCGGTAAACCCAAACGTGTAGTGAGGGTGAACTGGGAACGTCTGGCGGAGGACCCTGTCCGGGAGGTCTTTAACTCCCACCTCCGGAAGAACTTCTCACACATCCCGAGGGAGGTTGGGGACACGGAATCCGAGTGGACCATGTTCAAAGCCTCTATTGTGGACGCGGCCGCTAGGAGCTGTGGCCAGAAGGTCATCGGTGCCTGTCGTGGTGGCAACCCGAGAACCTGGTGGTGACACCGGAGGTGAGGGAAGCCGTCAAGCTGAAGAAGGAGACCTTCAAGGCCTGGTTGGCCCAGGGGTCTCCTGAAGCAGCTGACAGGTACCGGCAGGCCAGAAGGGCTGCAGCGGCGGTGGTCGCGAATGCTAAAACTCGGGCATGGGAGGAGTTCGGGGAGGCCATGGAGAAGGACTTTCGGTTGGCCTCAAGGAGGTTCTGGCAAACCATCCGACGGCTCAGGAAGGGAAAGCAGGGCTTACCCCAGGCTGTTCTCAGCAGGGGGGGGGGGAACTGCTAACCCGGACGGAGGACATCGTCGGGCGGTGGAAAGAGCACTTTGAGGAACTCCTAAACCCGACCAACATGTCCTCTGCAGAGGAGGCAGCGCCTGAGGACCTAGGGGGAGGCTCACTCATATCCCTGGCAGAGGTCGCCGAGGTAGTCAAAAAGCTCCTTGGTGGCAAGGCGCCGGGGGTGGATGAGATCCGCCCTGAGATGCTGAAGGCGCTGGACATGGTTGGTCTGTCCTGGCTGACACGCCTCTTCAATGTCGCATGGGGGTCGGGATCAGTGCCCATGGAATGGCAGACCGGGGTGGTGGTTCCCATCTTCAAAAAGGGGGACCGGAGAGTGTGCTCGAATTACCGGGGTATCACACTACTCAGCCTCCCGGGGAAGGCTTATGCCAGGGTGCTGGAAAGGAGGCTCCGACCGCTTGTCGAACCTCAGATTCAAGAGGAGCAGTGCGGATTCCGTCCCGGCGGTGGAACAGTGGACCAGCTCTTTACCCTCGCAAGACTACTGGAGGGGTTCTGGGAGTTTGCCCAACCAGTCTACATGTGCTTTGTGGACTTGGAGAAGGCTTTCGACCGGGTCCCTCGGGGGGTCTTGTGGGGGGTGCTGCGGGAGTATGGGGTGCCGGACCCGTTACAACGGGCGATCCGGTCTCTGTACGGCTGCAGTAGGAGCTGTGTCCGCATTCTCGGCAATAAGTCAGACACGTTCCCAGTGGGTGTTGGCCTCCGCCAGGGCTGCCCTTTGTCACCGGTCCTGTTTGTGATTTTCATGGACAGGATATCTAGGCGCAGCCTGGGGGCGGAGAACGTCAGTCTCGGGGGTCTCGGGATCGCTTCTCTGCTATTTGCAGATGATGTGGTCCTGTTAGCCTCCTCGGATTGTGACCTCCAGCATTCACTGGGGCGGTTTGCAGCCGAGTGTGAAGCGGCGGGGATGAGAGTTAGCACCTCCAAATCTGAGGCCATGGTTCTCTGCCGGAAACCGGTGGATTGCTCCCTCCAGGTGGGGACGGAGTGCCTACCTCAAGCGAAGGAGTTCAAGTATCTCGGGGTCTTGTTCACGAGTGAGGGTAAGATGGAGCGGGAGATCGACAGACGGATCGGTGCAGCTGCAGCAGTAAAGCAGGCGCTGCACCGGACCGTCTTGGTGAAGAGGGAGCTGAGCCGGAAGGCAAAGCTCTCAATTTACCACTCGGTCTACGTTCCTACCCTCACCTATGGTCACGAACTCTGGGTCGTGACCGAAAGGACAAGGTCGCGGCTACAAGCGGCCGAAATGAGCTTCCTCCGTAGGGTGGCCGGGCTCAGCCTTAGAGATAGGGTAAGGAGCTCAGTCATCAGGAGGGAGCTTGGAGTAGAGCCGCTACTCCTTCGCGTCGAAAGGAGTCAGCTGAGGTGGTTCGGGCATCTAATTAGGATGCCTCCTGGACGCCTCCCACTGGAGGTTTTCCAGGCACGTCCAACTGGGAAGAGACCCCGGGGAAGACCCAGAACACGCTGGAGAGATTACATCTCCCAGCTGGCCTGGGAACGCCTCGGGATCCCCCAGAATGAGCTGGAACATGTTGCCGGTGAGAGGGAGGTCTGGGTCGGCCTGCTTGACCTGCTGCCACCGCGACCCGACCCCGGATAAGCGGTGGAAAATGGATGGATGGATGGACAGAAACAAAGCTTTCAGAGTTTCTGGTGTACCAAGGCCTTTGATTAATTTAACCATGCTAATGTTTTTACATGCTATGAAATAAGCACTTGAACCTCCTGGAAAATTGCTGCCGGAAAACAATTAATTTGGAGTGGTGAGCTCATGCTGCACTAGTGTGTTCTCCTTATCTACATCACTCATTTCTCATTGATCGATCAGTCACTCTAATATCCCGCCCCATAATCTTGTTTTATAAGTAAATAAATCAAATTAAGGAAGTAACAATCCCATTTCATGGGGCCTTTAAACATGCAAAGTAAAAAAAGGCTGTAATCAGGTTACTGTACATGGTCATAATTGCTACAACAGCATGAAGTGGGAGGGAATCTCAAAACTGAGTCACAGGAAATCATTTGATATAAGCAGAAGATGGACGTTCTGCTAGATCAGCACGTGCCATTGGCCCTTTATCACAACTGTCGAGATATTAAACAAAACAACGCCCACTTTGCACTGTAGTAGTCAGATCTGTCGTTTTGATTGCAATGTTGACACCCCCTCTCTGCACAGATGCTTTCTTGTTTGTGTCAGTGAGTGGGATGTGATAAGTTGGTCGCTTTAGAGACAGCTTACTCAAAACTACCACAGCATTCAGCACTTCTATAAAAAGAACGAGAGGGTTTTTAAAGATACACATGATTCACAGTCATGGATGTAGAGAAAAGAAAAAACACTTGACTTCCTATGCTTCTAGAGCATACAGTGTATTGTACTGCACATACAGCACACCCACACAACAAAACTGCATTGTGAATTACGTTTTGAAAGAAACATATTTTGTTGTGGATTATGTTTGCTTTTGATCTCAAGTATGTTTCAAACCAGTCAATAGAAAGTCTGTCTCTCACACAGGAGACTGCTCGTGTCCCTCTTGAAACAAGTACTTTTGTTGCCTTAACATAAACACTTTGTTGTGTTTTTGTTTTGTTTCAATTCAGTACTCATCTTAAGCCAAACCACGATGTTTTGTACTAAAAATAATGAAGCAGTTTTGTAGTGATCAATGTTTGGATTTATTTCAATTTACAGCGTTAACCACATGTTTTAAACTGTTTAAAACTGCGACCCTAATTCAGTAGAAATTACTTTTCCCCCAAACGTGATTTTGCAGGTGACAGGGTCCTCATGCTGTGTGCATTTTCTTGACTCTTTTAGCTTCGTGAGTATATTTATCATCTAGCTGTCGGTGGAGTACAATTCTCGCAGACACCCACACTGTGTCAAAGTACACTCTACTTAATGTACAGTGCTTCAGATAGACACAACATACTACACATCCTATACTGTAAAACTATTTTGAGATCTCTCAGACAGACTTTAAATGATCAAACATTCCTTATATTATGCTTTGCTGATTTTTGATCGTATGAGTGCCCTGCAATATAATT